TTAAAGAATGTGTAGCAAACATCTTCGAGGATTAACTCTGATTAAAGTCATATTATACAGGGTGTAACAGAAAGATATGACTGATTTACATGTAAATCTTACACAAATCTGTCAYATCTTTCTGTTACACCCTGTATATATTATACACATATAATAGCTATGTTACAGTGATCGAGTCGTAGCAATATTATTTTATCGTATATATATAGTACAAGCTCATGTAAATGCTATACATATAGATTATAGGTATTATATATTATTCGAGCTATCYATGTACAACGTGAATTCATACAATTTCCGGTTCGATGGTTTACTACATTAACCTTATACATCGTCGTTTTGGGGATTTCTGATCGTTTTCGATTTAACGCTTGCAGGTATATAATGTACCGATCATCTCTTCGGCACGCGGCACGTTCACGATACGGATGTGAAGACGACGACGACGACGACGACGACGACGGATACATGCGCATAATAATTTAATATACTATTACAGTCATATGTGTAACACGTCGCCGTAATGTAGTACAATATTACACAAACTATGTACACACGGAACGTAAAGGATGGCTGAATTTATGCAACGTTGATTGGATGAGTGTATGTGAGATGTGAAGGGGGTGTTGACGAAGAGGAGGCAAAATTCACTAGAGTTCTTACAAAGTCCRTTTCGAGTCACTTCCGTCTTCTACTACTCTACTAGGTACATAATATTATACGTTGTTTTTTCTCGTTCGATGACCGTTTATTTTTTTATTTCGTTTTTTAACAGTGATATATACAAACATAACAACATCCTTTTTGGATTCAGAGCGGAAMAAGTAATGATGTATACTATTGGTTCAATAGAACGACAGGCGTGTTTGTATTTCAGATTGAAGGAGATGAACTTCACGTAACCCTTTTTCTAGGTGTWWAAAATACATAAAATGTATTARAAATTTAATAGTAYCAAAACATAATATTGATTACCCAAATTTGGGGACTTATAGTTTTCCAGACGACTGCAACAGAAAAAAACAACTTTATTCAGAAAAATTACAAGCCTTGATAAAAAGTACGGTGCGTTAAAGATGTTTATAAAAAAAAATTYTGGTCATTTTAATGAAATTCAGATGATGATATAAAATACYGAATATTTTTGGCRTGCCTATTTTCTGAATTATCGATTTAAGTATTTTCAAGTTGTTATACAATGATTTCTAATGTATAAATGTTATAGCTTAGGTGCACAATAACATGTATATAATATGTGACAGATGCACATGAAAAACATATTATAGTTTTTGTACACAGCTGTAGACATGAGTTATTTGCAAACAACGTTTTTACAACTAAAAGTTTCAAGAGAATAATTGAACAGCAATTATAGTAGTTTCATTTGGTAAATGCGGTATTGAAAGAAACAAATTCTTCTGACAACAATATATAAGCTAATACGACTGCGAGATTAAACTTTGGCTGCGTTTCAGCAAAAAGCGTATAACAGCTTCACGTAAGRACAAAAAAAATTGTAAATACATTATTTTAAGAACAWGTATACAAAAAACAATTGGCAAGCAATGAAAGATAAGTTTGTGGTCGTTAAGAAGTTTGGTAGTTTTTGTTTGTTTTCATTACTATATTAAGAGAAATTCAACATTTCTTTTATTTAAAATATCATATATAATTGTATCGTAGAAACAAAACGATAATTTTCAATTCATCAAAGTTAAATAAATTGAAGCATTTTAAAACTTATYATCAAAGATTAAATTATTCTTAGTACCTATATAAAATTTAATAATTAAAAAWAATAATAATCTGCTTTCATCTATTGGAAACAATTTGTTAAGATACGGTTAATCCTTAAATTGCATAAAAAATTAAATATTTAAAAATATGGTTAGTAATTATTATGTTAGTATACTTAGGTATACATTTAAAATCTTATTATTTTAATAAATTCATTATTAAAGGAAAGACGAGGCTGAGCATGCATGGTGAATCACTCTGTATCTATAATCTATATTATTATATATATTATACACATATTATACTTTTGTATTATTATAAGAAAAAAATTGTCTCTGTGGTTGGGTATAGTAATTCTTTATGAAATATTTTTTGCTGTTGCGTTATCTCTCGTGAAGATGACGTTATTGCTTTAGCAGATACGCTTTTATGTTCGACTTGCGGCTTCATAAAGAGATCCGGTGGATTTGATTTTACTGTACGTCTCTACTGACATTATCATCGTTGTGTTTCTCTGTTATTGAATTATTTGAGGCTTGCTTTGTTAGTTTTATTTTTTGTTTACAATGATTATATGTATCTATAATGATGATCAAAAAGCATATTATTGTGAGATGATTTATAATGTCTACTTAAAATGAGTAGTTTTTTGTTTGTTTTTTAATACTATAATACTATATCAGTACTTAGGATTTTTTTATTATTAATCACACAGTATATGTATACTTCAACTGTTTTAAAATATTTCTTGATTCGTACAAATACGCGATAAAAGTATTTTATTTCAGAATACCCTCAAAACCGCCACATATTATTATTATGAATACAACATCATTTTTTCAATAATTCATTTTAAATTTCATTAATTTAATATTATTTTATGCGAATTTAAATTTATACTTTATACATTTTTTGTATTAATACGAAAACAAACCATTACGTTTGTACAATACGAGTGTATCAAAGCGCTTATCATACCAACCATTGACGTTTGACCTTATTATACATATGTTAGTGTTTTCATAATAATTCGTGATGTAATTTGGTCAACTAGCGTTGGAACGTGTATTAATTCACGTATCCCGGGCAGATTAAAACATTTACAATAGTGATACCTTTACATATAGCAAACATTGTCCAGTGGCAGGAACTAAATTTTTTAGTTGTTAAACCGAACTTGAAACTATAATTATTATAAAATTTAGAAAAATAAACTAACAATATATGAGCTTACAAAAAAGTGAATTGTTATAAAAATGATTTATTTTATATTAAAACGGGTTCTAATCATTTTATTATATCTTAAATATAAAGTACCGAGTAAAATAACTTTTTGTATGATATTCAAATTTAACATATACAAATTGTAAGTATTTGATGAGTTGAATAATCATAAATAATACAAAAACATTATTTTTGTTAGGTTAGGTTATATATGTATACATATCGAAAACTTACAAGATTAAGTTCAAAGGGATCAATTATAACGATCGTCAAAAATAAATCTTTTCAGTTAGGTAAATTATTATAAATCAATAATTCTCAAAATACTWATAATTTATTTTTCTAAATGATAACACTGATAGAAATTTATGGTTAAATGTTAAATGTTCAATTCTAAAAAAACCTGGCCTTCATCRATTTTGACATTGGTGGTTAATAATGAATTATTTTAAGCCCAAACTAAATGTAATAATAATGTTCTATAATTAAAAAAAACTTTTTAAGCATTTTCTACGGTAAAATAAATTACTTAGTAATACGTTAAAAAATGTTTTAATTTATGTTTGGTTTTCCATTATTTGGTTTCAAACACAATATATTTTATAATTAAATAATTTATAAAAGTAATAAGTTTAGATAAATTGAGATTTGACCTTTCGATTTCTATAAGTCATGCTTATCAGCCAATTTAGTTCAAACTGATTGATTGACGCGGTATTTAAATTGTTGTATGCATATTAGTGAACTGTAAATAGTGTGTTAATATAATAAAACTGTAAATAATAATAATAGTATAATATAGAAGTAACATTTTGTATATTGTATGCGTTACTAATTATTAAGTTTCTAACATTAACATTGAACAATGAAGAACATTCAGAAAAATATAATTTTATGACCAATAGTATTGTTAACAATTAAATGTTTTAAAAGATCTTATTCCTTTAAATAATACATGTTTAAATTGGTATTACTTGAAAGTTTGGGGCAAGGAATTAACAACAAGATGTGTAATAACACTAATAACTAATAATGTATTAATGTGTGTTGTTATTCATGTTCCATTTAAATTACGTTAAAAAAGAACAAATAATGTAATATTATTGAAGCTTTAAAAGTTCAATTATAATTTTTATCATGGTTTCTTTTTTTATTACAGTGACGTCATTTTCTCTATGCAATTTCAAATTTATGTGCTATACCTTACCTAAATATTATTATAAGTATTTTTGAATTTGTTATTTAGTTCAGGTCAATATAAAAACAATAAAATATAATTCTAATAAGCTTATATCGAAAGTCATAAATAATAATAATAAAATTATATAAAAGACGTTGTCATCGGAATATTCAATATGTAGAATATRTTACTATATATTCCAACCATAAGATTTACAAACATATCATATGTACAAAATGCGTAAAAAAAAATCAATAAAAATACGCATACACATAAATGTACTGTACCTCTGTTTCCGTTCAATGTGCTGAGCGATCAGATTGCTGTAGTAATTCTCAAGGGTGACTTTAGCCTTGGTCGCTTTGTCTAGAGTATGTCCGCTCAACCGGATACCACTTTCGGTTGCAGCGCTCATCTCCAATACACCTGCGAAACAAAAAAAAAAAAAAATCCAACTAAGTATTTAATATTTTTATAGTAGTTAATAAAAACAATAAAGAAAACCGCACGTTTTACGTACTATATA